TTCTGAAGCCACATGAGTGAAACCACAGAAAGTGCAGTTTTTAGTCACAACAACCTCATAATCATAAGATACACATCCCTGATTATATTCCTCTTACCACCCTGCTTTGGTAAAAATTCACCCACGTTTCTCTTCTCTTTTCCAGCGAGGCATCGACCCAGCCACCACACAAAGCCCTTGCAAGATGGACCAGCTTTTGGAGATGGGTTTCAGAGACCAACGGATGAACCGGCGACTGCTGAAGAAGCACTTCTACAGCCTGGAGCACACCGTCGACGAGCTGGTGCAGTTGGCCGAAAACCGCCGCAACAGATATAACGTTACTTAGGAGCGAAGGCGGCAAAGATGTGAAAGCGTTAAGGTTGTGAATTAGTTTGACTTTAAAACACAGTGTAAGGATAATAAAAATAATTGGATTCAATCTATTGGTTGAAGGTTGAACGATAATTGGGATCAATATGAAATACCGTAGCCTTTATTTCTTAATTATAAGAGATAAATGAACATTCATTTGTGGCTGCTGCCTTTGCCTTTAATTTAGCTTTACCATTTTGATACAGTTAACCACAGATACACACTCAGAAGTTATGATGATGGCGGTTAATCTTTGCCATGCCTACCTGGGCCTTAGAGCTCTATGGTGCTGGTCAAAAGGAGCAGGAAGTAACATCTGGACAAGACTAAAGTGTGTATTCCAACTCATCATCTTAGTGTTCGTATGGCCGTAGCAGCTGCTTCCTCAGTGCTGAGAAATAAGTGTATAGGCAGGGCTTGGCTGGAGTCTCATGGAGCACAAAGCTGTGAAAATGTAAAACTGCTGAATGTCCAAACATGTTCTGAAAAGCCAGCGGCGCTCGTGTACGATGATGCTATGAAGCTATGTGAATCCTCTGGGGGTTGGGGGTAAAAGTGCAGTAATAAGAACAAGAAACACATATTTAAGACATTTCTTGATTATTGTAGTGAAATCTGCCTAACAATGCAATCTTTTTCTGTATCAGAGTACTGTTATTTTAGACGTTGACATGTGGAATGTACACAAAACTGTCCGAACGGATCACTGCTCGGACGCAGATGTTTCTGTTTTGTTTTTTATACTGCTGTTTAGGAGACACCTGCATGACAGGTAGAGGCTTTTAGAGACGAGTCGTGTTTTTCGTGATTTTTAGCACAGTTAGAATGGAAAACGTCCGCTTTGCGTCATCTGTCGTCATCCCTGCCTGCCTGCATCTCTGCTCGTTCTCGTTTAAACACCAACACCAACTTAGAAAATGTCTTTAAACACTAACTCAAGCAGAAACGTCTCTAACGACACATTCCTCAAGCTCATAACGGAAACGGAACCAAGTATGTTTTTATTTCGCTACATTTCCTGTTTTTTTCCTTAGTTTACTGAAGGACACATGTTGGTTGACATGTTGGTTGACATGTTGACTGCGATGAGCGTCTGTCAGGTTTTAAGTTACTGTCCATCTCTTTGAATGATTTCGCCTTTTTGTGTGTTTGGGGTTTTTCTTAATCAGTATTTTCTTATGAATATGACTGTCCATGTTTCACATCCATGCTCTAGAAAATAATTCTGACTATATCTACAATCTCAAGTTATTCTGTCACAGAATATATACATTAAACAATGCTCTGTCAATCTGCCAATAAACTATTTGCACATCCCTGTTGCCTGTCCAGTTAATGACACACTGCTTGTCTTATAGTGTGTGTTTGACTCAGGTCATACAGCTTTGCATTCCCTGGGGACACTAAATGGTAAATGGCCTGTATTTGTA